TTTTATAATATTGTAATTATATTAACCATTTGAATAATATTATTATATTCTATATCATAGTTATATAATATATTATTTAATAATAGTTTATTGTATTATATTAAATATAATAATAAATATACATTATATTGTAATTATATATATTATATTATTGTATAATATAATATAATTGTTATTTTAATTATTTCAGTTATTATTTTAATAATATTATTATATTCTATATCATAATTATATAATATATTATATAATAATAATTTTATTATATTATATTACATTTTATATATTATGTTAATTATATTGATATATAAAATATTAATGTTATATAAAATATTAATGTTATATATAATATAAGGGTAATTTTGTCAATATGAAAATATTCATGTTCCATTACATAGTATTCCTAAAATTACAACCAAACAAATGAATAATTTTCATTTCCATTCCGTTACCATTACCATTTTCATTCTCATTACTATTACCATTCCCCCACTGCAACCAAACACACCCTAAGAAAAAGGCCCTCCACTTCCTTTCTATTTTACTCACCTAGTTTTTATACCTTTCTTTCTCTCTAACCAAACAAAACCTTGGTGTCCAATTGCCAACCATTTCTATAACTAATAATTGTTTGTTCATAGCTCTGTTGTGGGGCTTGTACTGTTTTGAATTAAGTTATGTATTTATTTATTTGTAAATTTCTCTGACAAAAGTTGAAGAGTAATGCTGCCCGATGACCATTTCTTTCATTGTTAAGAGCACAAGTCAATGGTAGTGTTATGCTATTTTCTCTTTTCCTTTGTCACTCATCTATTTTTCATAGATGTCCTTTGTTGAGTTAAGAATAAGGCAACTATTTTTTGATGAAGGAGACTAACTTTTCAAATAAATGAATCTTAACATTGTTGGGGCATTGGAAGAAGACCAAGACAAACTTGGACTGTGAGTTGAATTTTAATGGACTACTGTGGTTAATTCAGTACTCGAAACTTGAGATTAGGCGTGTAGGCTATTCTTCGTTAACATGTTTAATATTCTCTCACTTCTGGTTTGAGTCCATCACAGGAATGTCTCTTGTCACTGCCTAAGAGTCCTGGGGTAGATAGTAATTTGCATTTTTTTTTTTATATATTCGCTGGTCGGTTTCTGTAATTTAGTTTAAGGGCGCGTAAAATGAAATATCACATTGCAGTTATTAGGATTACACTTTCAAAAATTTCAATGATGTGTTAGATATTCTTTGCTGTATACCTTAATTGAATGTTTTATCCTTATTTACATGATTCCCATCAAGGAAAAAAAAAAGCGCGAGTTCATCATTTGCACCTTTGATCTTTCGTTGCATATTGATTTATTTTAACTTCCTATAACCCGAAGCTGACACTGGTATATCAAACAAAGTATGGTTTTCTCTACTCAGAATAGGATCGTAACTTCAAGTTTTGAACATTAGGCTGTACTGAATTTTGAATATGAGTAATTTGGACACTGAGGAAGCATTTGGACAGAGGAACTATGGGCTATGAAATTGGGTTTGAGGTTTCTACAAGAAAGAGCCAAGGTTGGATCCTTCTGGTGGCCGTACATCAGCAACCTTCCCGAAGCTTACAGTGTACCCATTTTCTTCGCCGGGGAGGATATAAAGAACTTGCAGTACGCTCCTCTTCTTTATCAGGTAACCTGTCTTATATCACCATCTTTAAACCTAAATTTTGGTGTGGAGTCAAAGTGTAGTTAGAGAAAACTTCACGAATTTGACAGCACAAAATCAATAACCAAGTAGTTCTACTATCCATGGATTGTGCTCAAACAAGGAAAAGATATGCTGCAATCTCAGCTAAACTAGGTTTTGGCCATTGGCTGGATTTTCTATTGAGCAGGTCATCTCAGCCTAATCATAGCTGCACTATTGTGTTGTCGTTCCTTTAACTGGGAGTATTCTTCTAATTTTATGCAAAATACCCGAGTTATATATATCTTCCTGTTGGTTTCCTTGGAGCAAGTTCTGGAGTGGTGTTTTTTTAGTTGTTTTATGTTTACATATGGTATATGCGGTGAATAATTTAGTCTTCATTTGCCTCTCTGTTGGAATAAAGTTTATAGGAAAAGAATCAACTTTGGTGATGTTTTTCGCATTTATACTTCTTTCTTTTTTGCGGACATAAGGTATAGAAGAATAAATTTACATGCTTAGGATTTACGCAAATCTGACTCATTTCCCGCACAAGTACAAAAAATTAACCATTTTCCCCCAAAAAAAAAAAAAAAAAAAAAAAAAAAAAAAAAAAAAAAAGAAAGTGGTGGGGGCCAAATATTACTCATTAATACATGTTTATCTGCAACTACTGTATTTGAGGTCTTTGTTACTTACGTTCTATTAGGTCTCTGAACCGTCTTTTTGCGGTATGTATGTTTTAGTCGTAGCTTTTTTTGTTTCAGGTAAACAAGAGATGCCGATTTCTTCTTGATTTTGAGCAAGAAGTAAGACGAGCTCTTGAGGATCTGAAAGCAAATGACCATCCATTTAATGGCGAAGATGTGGATGCATCCTCACTAGGATGGGCAATGTCTGCAGTTTCGTCTAGGGCATTTCGTGTGCATGGTAAAACCCTCCCGGATGGGACCAAAGAGGATGTTCCCATGATGCTTCCTCTTATTGATATGTGCAACCATAGCTTTGAACCCAATGCCCGAATAGTCCAAGAGCAAGGTGCAGAAAATGGGAAGATGCTAGTGAAGGTCTTTTACCTTGTTTCTATTATCCAAAAAATTACTTGCCGAGATTTTGCGAATTTTTTTTCCTGTCTGATGATGAATGTATTATTGTTCTTAACCAGGTTGTGGCAGAAACAGAAATTAAACAGAATGATCCTTTAGCACTAAACTATGGTTGTTTAAACAATGATCTTTTCCTACTGGATTACGGATTTGTGATACCATCAAACCCATACGACTGCATTGAGCTGAGATATGATGGGGCCCTTCTGGATGCTGCAAGTATGGCTGCCGGAGTTTCTTCACCGAGCTTCTCATCACCTTCTCCCTGGCAGCAACTAATTCTAAAACAGCTTGGTTTAGATGGAGAAGCTCCTAATCTCAAGGTTTTTGCTCTCCCTTAGTCATGTTTTTTTCTTCCCTTTCTCCATAAAGATTATATTTTTCACAACTATCTTGCTTTATAAAGAATATACTTTTTCACAAGTATCTTATTACTTTCAAAAAGAAAAAAAAAATATAAACTTCATGAAGTTGATTCTGAACAAATTTTTGTATTCCCAGTTTTTCATAGGCTTTAGCAGCATTTTCTCTGTACAGATTCTGTGTGTGTTTTAAGCAAGCTTTATTTTTATTTCTTTCCAAAAATTAGTTCTAGAAAATTCAATTTTCGGATATCTACTTGGTGAAACTGGTTGTTGCCATTTGGCTCCCAATAAGTGATCCACTTTATATGTGAATGCTTTAGAAATTTCATGCCCAAAATTTCCAATCATCCCATTAAGTCTTCTACAGGATGTTAATGGTGACACTTTGTTCACATTGCCTCTTAAAGAAGAATAAGAGGTAATTGAAGGGAAGCTTCCTTATGGAGTTTTCTAATAGACAATCGTTTGTCCTTTGTAACTGAGTCGGAAAATATACAATTTCTTTCTAGTTCTCAATAGAATTGACAAAAACTATCTTAATTCGGTTTACTCATTCAGCAGTTTGCGACTTCGTATCTTTCCCGTCTTTAATATGTTCCAAAATTTTCTTTTCATGCCTAGTTTATTTTATTAATTTGAGTTTTTAATTCTAATTTTATTACAGTTAAAAATTTTCGTAAAAAATCGCATTTAATTTTTTCTGTTACAGTGAAAAGTAATAATATAAAATCACATGTCAACCTGAATTGACAAACTGTGAGACCTTAAATTTGATATGTAGAAGTCCTTTTACTTTTCTTTTCCTTTCACCGATCAGGTAACCCTAGGGGGTCCAGAATTGGTAGACGGTCGTTTATTGGCGGCATTGAGAGTACTTGTTGCTAACAACTTGCAAGCAGTCGAGAAGCATGATCTGGAAACGCTCAAATCTCTATCGGCCGAAGCTCCTCTTGGCGTCACAAACGAAATAGCTGCTTTCCGTACCGTCATTGCTCTATGCGTGATTGCTCTGGGACACTTCCCAACTAAAATCATGGAAGACGAATCACTGCTCAAAGAGGGTGTTTCGGGTTCTTTGGAGTTGGCTGTAACGTTCAGAATTCAGAAGAAATCTCTGATAATAGATGTGATCAAGGATCTCACAAGGAGGGTGAAGTTACTCTCATCAAAAGAAACAGTCACTGCCCAAGAGTAAATTTTGATAATAGATTCACTTCATTTGCAGATTGTGCTTCATTTTGCCCATTACTTTCTCTCCGTGCTCTGAGGATCATGTTTCTAGAAACATTTTATAATGCTTTACACCGGTTATAACTGTTTGTCAGGTTATAGATATTTTTATTTTATATGGATAATATTTGTCACGAAACACACACTTCATAAGCAATACCGATGTCAAATTTAAAATGGATATGAGTCATTAGACCGTGTAAGAATTTGTTTAGTTCGTTGATTTGAATTTTTAATTCGAGTTGAGATATAATTTTATATGATAATTTTTTATTATAATAAAAAAATTAAATGTGATTATTTTTTAAAATTTTTTACTGTAATAAAATT